GAAGTACAGGTATATATATATATATATATATATATATAATTTTTACCAAAAAAACCCCTCCAGCCATGCCTCAGCACCTACTAAGAGTATGCAGAGCTCACAGCCTCTTCTTGGCACTGTGCCTCCTGAGTCCCTGCCACAGTGGCAGCTGGAGCAATCTTCCTTCACCCTCTCAACCCTGCCTGGACTCTGCTGCCTGGCGTCTGCTTTAAGCTCAACCCAGAGGCAGCTGCATTCCAGGGAGGGAGGGAGGGAAGGAAGCAGTTCTAAGCCAATATGTAGGAGGCACTTGCACCCTGCAGATTGGGAGATACAGGAGATGATTGGCAGGGGGAGAAGGATGGGAGGAACTTTGTGTTACAGCTTGTGTGGGGAGGGACTTCCCCACCACATGGCCTTGTCCCTGGTGTGCAAACAATCCACTGGGGCTGACAGATGGAAGATTTGCTTATGGACCACAACTGCACCTTATCAAGGAGCCAGGCCCTGGTGAGCTGAAGCTATCACTTGACAAATAAACACATGCCCAGCTATGGCTCCATTTATTGCCCACGTCCTGATCCTATCTGCCTACTGGCTAGTTACAGAAATACAGACATGATGCAGTGGCAGCCAAGGTTCAGAAGAGAGAAAGAAGAGCCCTCTCAGCTCAAGGAGATACCACCCACCTGTGGGGCCAGTTGCCTGACCACACTGTCTCTGCTCCATAAGCCAGGTCATGCTGCTAATGCAGAATGAGGAACCTCTAACAGCCCCCACAGTCCAGCCTGACCTGAAAATCCACTACAAGTGCAATCTCCCCAGAGCCCACCAGCATTGGCTATGAGGACTTAGCTGCCTCTTACACTGAATGACATTTCTTCCAGATAGCCTTTGCCATGGGCACTTCCTCTCAGATGTGGCAGCACAGTGGTGCCTACTGAGTCTTGCCACGTGGCTCAGTGACTCCCACTTGTTTCCCATGAGCACAGACCACACCAGACCATGGCCACACTCACCAGGATGTCCATGCTCTCCCGGTGGAAGGGTGGCTGCTCCAACTGGTCAGGCACAGAAGTGAAGAGGACAGTGGAGCCAGCACCTGAGGACCGCAGGATGGGCAGGCTCAGGGATCTGAAGTCTTTCACAGCCTGCTCCACCTTGAGTTCATCTCCAGGTTTGGCTATGAAGGAAGCACAGGTAGGGCCATCAGTGGCAGGGCTCCTGTACAGCACCCACCCACATGCTGGGGCTAGCTGGCCATGCCCTCTGAGCACAGGCAGGGTTACCCACACAAGCATGCTGGACACCCACCAAGGGCACTGCCAGATAGTCTGAGAACAGGAATAGTGCAGGGTCTGGGGAACCCGCAGCAACTGCAGCACTACCAGCACAGGGGCACGGTGAAGCCCAGACCTCCCCCAGCACTGCAAGTCTGATGCTCACCAGTGAGCGCCACAGCATGTCCAGCCCAGCCCCTAGGGCAAGTGTGCCAAGTTCAGCTCTGCTGGAACTCATGGCTCCTGTGGCTTGCAGCAGGTGCCTTCTGGCACAGCTCTCTGGCCAGAGGAGAAGAAAGCCCATGTCCAGGGCTGTGGCAGGTCACAGCGAGGCTGGTTCTGGTAAGGTCATGGGCTGTTTCCCAGCACAGTCTGAATTTGCACCAGCTTAGGACAGGGCAGCATCCCCAACCCAGGCTGAGCGGGACTGGGTGCCCTCTCAGGGAAGGTTCCTCACTTGCTCCTCGTCCGAGGGATGCAACTAAGCCTATGTAACAGAGGGGAGGAGGGATATCCCACTCGTCCACCACCTGCACACTGCCCTCTCTGCAATGCACTGTCAATCCACCAGCTCTGAGGCTATCTCCCAGCCTAGCCTGATGCAGGACGCACCTTTCACTCGCAGGTAGTGTCCCCCAAAGCGGTAGGCTTCAAAGTGAAGTGACAGAGGTGTGTTGGACTGGTCCAGATATATGTCCACCTTGCTCTGCTCGATGCCTTTCCTCTCGAACACTGGCAGCAGCACCTCCCTGCGCACACGGGAGCAGGCAGTAGCGGGATTTCCCTCCTGCCCCCAGATCTGGGCTCGGAGTGAAAAGGGTCCATCAACAGGCTTTGGGCTGGGTGTGCCAGGCTGACTGTACTGAGATAGGCCACAAGGGAGAGAGGGCCCAGGCACCCAGCCAGAGGGCTCCAGGCCCCAGGGGCAGAGTGAGAGCTCAGGGGGAAGGGGAGGGCCCGCTATTCTCCCCTTCAACAGCTGCCAAAGCCAAGAGAGTGGTGATTCCTTGCACTAGTACATGGCAGATACCTATTCAGCAATCTGGTGAGTGTTGCTGACAAGCAAAGGACTCTGGTCAAACTGCAGGGGTGAGCCAACCATAGGCCTGTACCCACTGCCTCAGCATAGGGAAGGACTTAAAGCACATGACCAGGTCCAGCTGGTGCACCAGTGAGCAGCCCAGCCCAAGCCCAAGGAGGCCAGGGCACGGGGTGCCATTGAGCCAGGAGCTGGGCTGGAGGTAGGGTTTTGAGGTGGCCACACTGGTGTTTCAACACCCAGGCTCCATGGCTGGGCCCTGTCCAGGATACTCTCTTGATGGCGCCTGCAGCCCCAAGCCAAACCCATGCTCCCCACCCACAGGAATAGTCCCAGGGCCAAGTCTGTTTAGGGGAAAGGCAGTCCCATGCCCAGCAAGTAGCCTTGGCAGACTCACCCCAGGGATTTCTTCTTCATGGCTGGGACAATCTCTGTCTCAATGTCCACGTTCAAGTCGAACTTGAGGGTGAAGCACTCTTTGCTGGGGTCCTGAGGCAAGGGCAGGCTGGTCAGCAAGACCCTTTCTCACACCCTGGGGCTCAACATCACCAGCCCTCACCCTTTGCAGGGTCAGTCCTGTGGCTCCCACCCACCTGGCAGTCCCCTGTAGGTACAGCAACCCCTGGCTCCATGGAGCTCCACGACCCATTCTCAGGTATAGGCCTGTCTGTACAGCTGGGGTGCAGCTGGCTCTGAGGCTGTTTCAGCTGCAGCTCATGCTCCCTGCACCCTGCAGACTACCACAGCACACAGGCCAGGGTCACTAGGGTGCTTGCTCCACAGCTGTTCCACCTCTCAGGCCTGGCACCCCTGCGCCAGCCCAGATCTCCCCGCCCCACACTCCAGGCTGGGCTCCTTACATCCGTGTGTCTCCGCCGGGCTTTCTTCCTGGGGAGCTTCAGTGCCGAGCTCTTCTTGTCTCTGTAGGTACAACCAAATGCATGGTTACAGGGAACACCTGTGCTCTGGGGCTCTGATCCCAGACCAGGGGCTTCCCTGGAGGCTAGCCCTCACCAGCATGGCTGAGTCCCTGCCAGGATGGCACTCAGCATGCTGTCAGGTCAGGGTCCTCTGGAGTAGCCAGGAACCCTGGGTCCTCATCAAGACTCACTGAGGCACTAGCAATGGTGCCTCAAGAGTAAGTTGTGCCTTGAGCTGTTCCCCAGGGCTATGTTCTCTTATGTTAAATGCCCCAGGCCCAGCCCCCCACTCACTCCAGGCCCAACCTATCTCATTCCCCAGAGAGCAGCAAGGCCCACCACCAGCCCTGCCCAGCTGGGCACTCACCCCTTCCCATCCATCAGCCCCTCATCATCTTCCTCCACATCAGAGGCAGGGCTGGTGCGTGGAGGGCATGAGCGTGTGGACACGTTCCGGGCCAGAATGGAACCTGCAACCAGAAGAGACATACATGTCACACCATGGGGTCTGCCCTTCCCCATGTGACAGGGGCTGGCTGGAGGGTGGGGCAGTCTCTGTGCTGACAGGCCCCTCACTGCAACCCCTGTGTTGACAAACCTTCCTCTTAAAATATTCCCCTTCCTGTCTGGTGCCTTGCTGGGCAAGACATCCCCCCCTGCATAGCCATGCTATAACACATGAGGCCCTCAGCCCTGGAAATATTCCCCAGGGGAGGCTAGATGGTTGGATGCAGCTGGGAGCAAACTGCCCTGGCCCTGCTGCTGCTTTCTCCCTGCTCTGGCACAGCTACCAGGCACCCTGCCCTGCCCAAGGAGATGATACATGCACAGGGTGGCTAGGCTATTGTCAGCTGGGCCCCCTCCACCAGTTGTACTCTCACCTTGCGGGGGCAGGTCGAAGCGTATGTGTCCATCAAAGTGCATGGTGCTGTGAAACCTGCTGTCACAGGCTTCGCACAGGCTCAGGGGACTGTGGTGGTTCAGCTGTTGGCACTCCGCATGATGGCATACCTGTGAGATACAAGGTGCCCTAACATAGAGCCAGAGCTACACATGGCAAAGTGCAGGGAGGCAGCCCCCAGGTCCTGACAGGAGGGGTTCTCTGAGCCCATGTGGCTACCAGGCAGCTCCCTCTGCCCTGTAGCCTGCCCACCATCCATGCACATAGACCTTTCTTGCAGGCCAGGTGAGACCAGGCTGCCACGCAGGACCAGACTGCAGCTCAGTTCATTCATGGCTGGAGTCCCATGCTAAGGGAGGGGGGGACTCTGGCACAGCCAGGCCTCGTGAGCAGAGGGTGCTCTCTGGCACAGCCAGGCCTCGTGAGCAGAGGGTCACTGCCCCTTGCACCCAGCCCATCCGTGCACACAGAGTCCAACTCAGCCTGCCCCATGCCCCTTGCCCTGCCCATACTCAATGCCTGGCAAGCATGGCTGGGGCTGCCAGGCCCCACAGATGGATAGTACCCTGGTCATGAGCACAGCTTGAGGAGGCACTGCTAGGTTCCCAGGCCAGGGTCTTCCTGGGGCCAAGCACTATTGTATCGCGAGCCCTGGGCACACAGAAGAGGCTGTGGCTGGTTGCTTTGTGTTTCAAATATCAGTGTCCCCAATACAGGGCTGAGGAAGCAAGTGTCTGCTGTGAAACAATGCCTGTGAGCCAGGCCGCCTTCCTCCCATTGTGCAGCCTCCCCAGGGCTGCACTTCTCACCAGCCACGGGGACTATTTTTATACACTCGCTGTGTGGGGCATGACCCCTGGCCAGCATGGCTCACCCAGCCTGCAGCAGCCAGGCTGCCCTGGTGCTCTCCCTCCTGCCTGCCTCATGGTCTCAGTCCTATGCTCCCCACAGTACTCCACGCCTTCAGCCAGGACCCACAGACCATGTGGCTCTGTTTGGCAGCCCTTGTGCCCTGTACCGCCTATGTGCTCAGTGCCTGTGTTTCAGGAGGTAGGATGGCCTCAGGAGGAAACAAACAAAGGGCAGCACATGCAGGAAATTGTTTTAAGCAGGGGACAGCACACCATGCCCTGCTGGACCAAGGGCCTTGGAAGGACGCCTCTTTGGAAGGCCTGAGGCCACAGGGAACATTCTCAGCACCAGACCAGGAGGCAGCACCCCAGGGAGCAGAGGGACCCCATGCAGCCTGAGCTCCATGAAGGGTGGAAGAGGAAGCAGTCCCTCATTTCCAGCCCTTGCCCCCTTTCTGCCCTCCTTCCTTACCCAGGCCCACTGACATCAGAGCTGAAGCACTCTCTCATGCCAAGCCCCACTAGTATGCCAGCTCTGCCCCATATGTGGGAACAATGGCACTGGGCATTCTGGGGTCTCCCAGGTGGTGGCAGAACAACATAGTGCCTGGGCACTTCCCTTGGCCATCTGGGCCAGTAGGGTCAGGGGAATATGCCCTGGCAGGAATGGAGTGCAAGGAAAAGCAGGGAATACTCCCCACCACAAACCTAGGGCAGGGGGCACTGCAATCCCAGCTGGGAGCCCTTTTCCCAGGACTGAGCCAACAGGAACCAGGCTGAGCTGGCCCAGAGCTGGGAGCTGCCTCCCCCTGGCTGGGCTGCTGCCAGGGAAAAACTGTGCCAGGCCAAGGCAGGCCAGGCCAGGGAAGCTATGCTGGGCTGTCCCCAGCTGTGACTCACCCAAGGAAGCTCTTCCCCTGGCACAGACTCTACCTCTCAGTCTCCGTCCCTAGTCCCTCCAATGCTTGGGACCCTCCTGTGGCTCTGAGCAGAGCTGGAGAAGCAGCAATCGCCAGCTGCATTCCCTGGGGGATCCTGCCACCAGCCTCTGCTGGCCCATTCCCAAAGGACCTGAAGCTAGTGAAAAGCAGATTCATGGTACTGTGTGCTGAGCCCAAGACTACGAGGGGCATGCAGCACTGACCCACCTCCAGCTTAGATAGCCAGAGTGGGTTCTGCAGGGAGTTGGCCCCTCCCAGTCTTCACAGAGCTCCACCTTCCTGCCTCCACTACTGGCTCTGCCTTCTGGAGGGGATCTGAGCTGCCCTACACAGCCCCAGCCAAGCCAGTCTGGCTGCCCTGCTCCCAGACAAGCACATGTGCAAGCAGCCCACGTGTGCAGGTCACGCATGCAGGCCCTGAGAACGCTGCAAAGGTTTGTGACTCACTCAATAGTGCTACAGCTGGGAGCATGCAGCCAGGGACTAAGTTCCCTGCCCCAGAGCCAGGTGGCCAGCACCACTGGGTACTGGTAATAGCTCTGGCAGCTCAGAGCAAATGAGCAATGCAGCTCCCAAGCTGTGGCTATGCTTAGAGGTGAAGGCCAGCCCTGAAGCCTGCCAGTGAATGTACAACACCTCCAGGCCCCCAACCATGCCAGTTCCCTGCCACACTCCCCAAGTCCATCTCAGAGCCCACAGGCAGCAACAGGACAGCCACTGCAAGCACAGTGCCCTCACCCCAGGACTGTGAATATCAAAACCAGTGACAGGTAATGCAGTGTGAAAATCAGGCAGAACTGGGGCAGAGCCCTAGTTTTGCCCTCATGCGGAAGCAGGGCTGGGCGTAATGCCAAAAGCGCCACCATGTGTTTACGTTCCTTCCCACCCAGTTCCATGTGCCCTGGGATCCCACAAATGTGTGCTCATGCCAGGAGCACCTACAGGTCCCACACATCTGCCCTATTCTGGGAGCTGTCCCCAGGACCTTGTTCACACACCCCTGGAGCCAGTCCCCTGGACAAGCACTGCTGCCACCCAGGGTTTGACTGGGAAGGGCAGCACCAAGACAAGTGCCAGCTGGTCCTAACTGCAGCCTGGGACAAAGCCAGAGCTCCCAAATGCTGTCACAGGCTCCGCCACTAACACCCTGCAGGGCTGGGGCCAGGATGCTCCAGCGGCAAATGCAAGGGGACAGCACCTGTGATGAGATGCAGCATGGCAAGAAAAGCAAACACAGGCAGTAACGGAAGTCCTCACCAGACACCACCTCCCCCTGACAAGGTGTAGCCCTCCCACAGCACAGTCACCCAGACCCAGGCACAGCTCTGGGACTCCCCTCCCGGGGAGAAGTTTGCTTGGCCCCGCCACGCAGCGTCCCCCAGACATGCCCAGGCTCCCTGCCACATCACTACCTGGTTCTTATTCCATGGACTAAATATCTGCCTGCCAGATGTGTGACCAGTACTGCGCCTGCAGTTGCTGCCAGCACATCACCGTCCCTGCTCCCTGGGAAGGACTTTGTGCCCCAATGTCACCCAGATTGGGCACAGCCCCTCCCTGGGATTGACACCACCAGAGTCCCAGGGGCTCAGCCCAGAGCACAGCATGGAGCCTCGGCACTCACCCCCGTAAGCCTGTCTGGCTGGATTCGGTATGAAGGCACAGGCAGCTATTCACAGCCGCTGCAATGCAGCCCTATGAATGGGAAGGAGCTGGGGGAAGGGAAGGCCACTGGGGGGAGGGGAAACCAGGCTGCCTCTGCAGGGAACTAGACAAATATGATAGCACACACAGGCGCATGCACACACAGATGCACATGCACATGCACACGCAGGAGAAGTGAGGGGCATTTACTCCACCTAGGCCTGTGAGGGGGAACACACTGCCTGTGCAATCAGTTGGACTCCCCTGGAACAAGGAGGCAAATGTCCAGTCCGCCTGACGCAGGGAACACGGCACAGCAGCTGCAGCTCAGGGGTATATCACTAGCAGCTCGCGGCAACTGTGAAAGCTAATGCCAGCAGCCCATGGCCCAGGCGGCAAGAACAACAAAGAGTCTCCTTTGACAAGGCAGACACAGGCCCTGGGAAACACAAACCACTAATCCCCCGGCTCCAGACTCACCTCTGCCCATAGCAGCCAGCACTGAAAATGAGGACCTCAGCTCAGCCAGCACCCATGACAAGACAGGAAAGTGCTCTGCTCTGTGGGGCAGCCTGTCCTGTCCAGAAGCCCAGACTCCCCTAAAGCCCCTGAAGCAAGCTGGGCTGCCTGCATCCTCGGCATAAACCTCACTGACTCATCTTCCTGGGCAGGCTTTGGCTTTGGGTGGAATCTCCCCAGTGACAGGCTGTTGACTAAGCAGGTGGGGCATCACTGGGGTTTGGAGTGAGTAAGAAGTCAGTGTGCCCTGCACCTACTCCTCTTTGTTTGTGCAGACAGGCTGTAGTGGGGAGGACCCCTCCTGAGCTGGCCTCTGCTCTGGCTCCCCTGCCCCCCACAAACACACACACACCTGTCAGCTGGAACTTAAGCCTCCAGGGCTCCTGGAAAGATACATGCCCTCCTAAGTGAGCGGCAGGATCAGTAACCTAACCATGAGCTCAAGTGTCAGGTTTCTGAAGCCCCCATCTGCATACACCACGCTGGTCGGGCCACAGCAGGTACATGCCCTGCCAGTGGCTCTTGCACTGGCCTGCCCTCCAGATTCCTGCAATCAGCAGAGCGGGGGCCAGACTTGCCAGCTACCAGGTCACAAGTGGACGCCAAGCATTTATGCTCTGCGCTGCGCACAGGCCCAGCTCGCTGCTCCTAACACCAGGGCTTTTATGGCAGGAAGCCAAGGCAGCCCAGCACCCCTACTCCTGACCTGGGCACAAAGCAGAGCAGGGATTGTGTGTACAGTGCTCTCCATGCCACAGAACTGCAGCCAGAGCTGGAGCTGGAGGGAGGAGGATCCCATCACAGCCTGCTACACATGCACTGCAAAAAGGACCTTCTAGCCCACGCTGTGCACTCAGCCTGGCACTCCTAGGCATACCAGCAGTTGCAGGAAGCTCTTGAGGCAGCACCTCCAGTATGAACCATGGGACACTGGGGAAGACAGGAACAAAACCCATTCCCCTTGCACCCATCACCCAGCTTGCAAAAAGACAATCTGGAGAGCCAGCCTGGACACCATGGTTCCCTTGGCAGAGCTCACGGGGCTGGACAGCAGAGCACAGAAACTAGTGCCACAGGCCCTGGTGTCCAAGGGCCAAGTCCTGCAAGTGAACTGCTGCTGTCCAATAGCCTGTGTCACTACACAGCCAGGACCAATGATGAAATTTCACTGCTAGTCCTCTGCAGCCATGACAGTGAGAAGAGTGGTGGGTTAATGTCACGGCAAGTAAGGCCCAAAGGATGCCACACTGTCACGGTCAAAGTTTCCACAGCACAGCCAGGAGGAAGCCACGCGCCCATGTGCAGGGTACCAGAACAGCCTTCTTGGCATGCCAGCACAGAACCTGGTGAGCTGCTAGGCCTAGATCTGGCTGGTGGGAGCCACCACCACCTCCAACCAGCACCTGCCTCCAAGCTCAGAGCTAAGCCTCACACTGCCACCACCACCCCCATCCTGGCCACACTTGTGGAGCCACAGGCCACAGCCTTGCAACAGAAACAGTACCTCCTCTCTCATGGACCAGCCCACTCTGCAGGTACCCCTTCCCAGTAGCTGCTGCCCCCATAGCCACTCCAGGCTGCAGCCCTGTCTGTGCTCATGTCCTCTCCCTGCAGTTAGTGGTGTCCAAGCTGGGGTGCCCGGGTTCAGATGCTGGGGCAACTGCAGGTCTGGACTTCACAAAGGCTGGGATACTGGGGGGTGTAGAATAGGCAGGGACCTGCTGGCCCCTGAGCCTGCTCCCCTGCAGTCGCAGCCCCTCGCCCTGCAGTCCCACTCACACATTTATCAACCTCCATCTCCAAGCCAGTCTGTCTGTTTGTCCCAGCAGCTCCTATTGTTCCTGGATAAATGTAGCATTGTTTCAGCCAGGGCTCAGTGCTGGCCCCTGGGGGCTTGCTGCAGCTGCAGCAAGTTCACACAGTGCTAAGGGTGGGGTTCAACAAAAGGTGCCCAGCCCAGCCCTGGCCTGACTTGTGGAACACCTAGGGGCAGTCAGCAGGGGGCCATACCTGTAGACCAGCCAGTGCAGTCACATGGAGTGGCACCCTGCAGGCACTCTGTAGAGCAGTGCCTCTCAGCACAAACCATCTGCAGATTTTGGGACAGTGTGCGCCAGCCTCGCAAAAGGGCATCTCATGTCATAGCAGCCCCATGACAGAACCCCACTGATCCCCTTGCCCAGCTTTCCCATTTGAAACAACCCCTCTCCCTAGCTACTTCCTACCTCTCCCCTGTTGCCCTGGGCTCCACCTCTGCCCTCACCTGGCACCATGTCAGATGCTTGCCAGTCCACCCCATTTTGACAGCAGTCACCTCACCCCAAAAGTCCCGGGCTGCATCAACCCAACCTCCATGTGCCTCCAAGTCCCTAACTGTTCTTTTCAGCCAGACCTGCCCTAAAGCCTCAAGTGCTGGCAAGGCTGAGGACAGATCACTCCCTTGGGCTCCCTGGTGAGGAAGTACCACCGTGCATGCACTACTCATCTCAAGGCCTGGTCCAGCTCTGCTGTGTTCTGGGATGGCAGTTTTCACGCATATATACCCTACCTCCAGCTGCTCTAAGCTCCTCTTCCTCCTCCCATCCCCTCCCACTCCAGTGGGCCGTGCTCACCCCAAATGTCCCTTTGCTGGAGGCCAAATCCCTTCCCTGCAAGTCCCACCACTTTGCTTGGAGGCAAACTCCTCTGACGGGGAAGCATGACCCACATTAAAGCCTCTGTCCCCTCACTCACTCCTCAGGATGTGCCTTCATGGCTGGTGCGAGGCCCAGGAAGCTCCCACACGCTCCTTGCTCTGGTGAGGCCCTTTCCAAGCTCTCTGTGCTATGCGCTGAGCAGCTTGGTAGTGCCTCAGTGCAGCCAAAAAAACAGCCATGCATTACTTCAGAGCAGCCTACCACGCACGATACCATCTCCGGAGATGCCCTGGGAGCAGCCCAGCCCAGCCCCTAGCAACGCCAGGCCCTGCCCTGCTGGCGACCAAATATCCACTGGAATTCAGCCTTCCATTCCCAAGGGGGCGGCTTATAAATAGCCATTGCTATGGAGACTGCAGAGGCACGGCAGCTGCACAGGCTGCCTGCTCATGGCAGTGAGAGCTGGGCCAGCTCTGCTGGGAAAAGCCAGCTCTGGGGAGCAGCCATGGGGCTAACACACAGGTCATTGCCTGAGCAGTACAGGCAGGGCCCTGCACTTTGCACAAAGGACTGGGAGCTGGGGCACCTGGGTTCTATTTTAGGACCTGATCAAAAGGTGCTTTGGCGATAACATCACCAACCCCTGGCCAGATGCTTCTAAATAGTCAGGCCAGGGTGCAGAGCCTGGAGCAGGAACATCCCAGAGCTTCAACCCCACTGCCTTTTTTTTTTTTTTTTTTTTTTGAGTAAAAATGTTCATGTTCCAAGTCAAATTCCAAATCCATGAGTCATTCAAGAACCATATGTGGCCCTGAAACACGCAAACATCCTCCACCCCTACCTGGGGCTTCAGTTGTTTCCAGATCATTTGGCGGGCATCCTATGTGCAGGCCCAAGCCCAGAGGCTTGGGATTCGGATTCCCCTGAGTTTCGCTTGCCCTCAGCCATATGGCCGCAGGAGCGAACTAGGGAGAAGTCTCCCATTTCCATAAAGTGGGCATAAAGCAACGAACACGTTACCTCTGTCAGAAATGTGGTTATCCCCTGTCCCCAGGAAAACCGCTTCAGCTGATAATGATGTTTCCCCTGCCAGGTTCCCTATTGACACCTCTGGAGGGACAGGGAAGCTGCCTTGTGCTGAAATGAAGCAGCCCAGGACAGCCCAAGGTTGCAGGGACGCAGCAGCAAGCACAGGGAGAGGCAGTGTTCTCCTTGCAGCCCTATGCATGGTGTCTGCCCCACCTGGGCCCTGCACCACCCTCTTCCTCATCCCCACCTCTCCCCTGGGGCCCGCCCCCACTTAGACAGAAGTAGGGCTGTGGAGCTCCCAGGCCCTGCTGGTGGTGTCTGCTGCCGGGAAGCCTCCCTGCCCAGCATGCCAGGACCTGCTCCTGGGGAAGAGTCATCCTGGCTGAACAGGGGGTGGCAGCTGTGGGGAGGAGCAGAGCCCAACCGTGGCTGCAGCAGCTCCTGCTTGCTGAACCAGGAAATAAGCATGCCCTATGCAGGGCAGTAAGGCTCCTGCACAAGGTGCCTGGCCAAGAGGCAGCAGCCCCGCTCAGGGGTGCTGGGACAGCAGGAGGACCTCACACCCTGCCCAGCTGGCCCCCACCAGCGTTAACCTCTCCTGTCCCTGCCCCCCAACTTTGAGGCAAAGTCTCACACAACCCATTGGAAGGACATGCCTTCTGGCTTGTTCCACCATGCTCAGCCCAGCCCCACCTTCACCATTGCCATGGTGAGGCTGTGCTCCGGCAGATTTGGGGAGAGCAACAGCAGACAGCAACTGTGACAGTGACAACGACAGTGAATGAGCTGAGAATGTAAACCCCAAAATCGGGGCTAGGACTAAAAGAGTGATTGGGTTAGGGAAAGGGCTGTGGTCGGGTGCGCGGGAGCGCTGATCCACGGGTGCATTTATTGTAACAGATGCACAGGCTTTAAAAGTGATATAAGGTATGTGAAGAAAAGCTTTTGCTAGATGATGATGATGGTGTGTGTGTGTGTATTTGTTTTTTTAAGGTTTGGAGGCAGTCCCACTCACAGGACAGCCCTTGAGAGCAGGGACTGCAGCCCTCCATCAAGGCAAGAAGCTGAGATCCTGCTCTGGCCCTCAGCAGAGCCCAGACACATCCATTAGCCTGTTCTCTCCCCGTTTATGACTCACCGCTGAATTGCTGCAACAGATACTCAAGACCAGTTGGCCCTGAATGAATAACAAATCCTCCGCAGGGAGCACAGGGCTCAGAAACCTCTAACCCCAACAGGGAACCCAGTTCCTGCCCCAGGGGACCCTGTTGCCAGTGCTGCAGGAGAGCCCAGCCAGGCATATCTCTGGCCTACAAGGGGCCATCACTTGGGTACTGGGGCCACAGTCACTGGGCAGCTGGCTCCAACCCACTGCTCCGGGATGCCATGCTGCTGCTCCATGTTTTATAAACAAAGGTTTATAACTCAGCTTGCCCTGACCCCATGCTAGACAGGAAAAGGTGGCCCTGCTTCCCCTGCACAGAAAGGCCAAGATTTCACCTGTATGGATGACAAGGATGCCTCATGACAGTACTGGCTACAGCAGACACTGCACAGGTAGGTGAGCAGGCCATGCCACCAGCCCTGCCCCAAACCCCAGGTGATTGGCTCTGCCCCATGCTCCCTAGTACCAGCCCCGTCCCCACAATGCACCAATCTGGAAGGTCAGGGAATACACAAACCATTTACTCTCGCTTGGGGAAGTGTGGAGCCGCTGGCTATTATATTTGAAAACTCATGGCGATCGGGGGAGGTCTCAGACAATTGGAAAATGCCAAATATAGTGTTCATCTTTAAGAAAGGAAAGAAGGAGGATCTAGGGAACTACAGATTGATCAGCCTCACCTTAGTCCCCAGAAAAATAATGGAGCAGGTCCTCAAAGAACCCATTTCTAAGCAGTTGGAGAAGAAAGTTATTAGGAACAGTCAACATGGATTCACCAAGGGCAACTCATTTCTGACCAACCTGACTGCCTTCTGTGATGAGATAACTGACTTAGTGGATGCCAGGAAAGCAGTGGACATAATATACCTTGACTTTAGCAAGCCTTTTGATTCCATCTCCCACAGCATTCC